AAGGAGCGGCAGGTCTGCATCCAGCCTTACGCTGTGTTTCTGCTTTGTCCTTCCAGGTGCTCTTGAAGTCAGACACGCCGACTGGTGACGTCTTGCTGGATGAGACCCTCCGACACATCAAGGCCACAGAGTCTGCGGAAACAGTGCAGACCTGGATAGACCTGCTCACTGGTAGGGCCAGTTAGAGACACCACCTCCCCAGCTCCCTCGGGGCCTGTCCCTGCTGCCTGTCCCCTCTCTTGGGGAGGGGACGGCTTGGCCATCCCCTCACTTCACTGGAGATGGGCAGAATACTGACAGCAGGACAGGGGAAGGCTGAATGTGGGGGCAGGGAATGGTTTTCCAGGTCTTTTTTGTTGGGAGCTCGGTGGAAGGCTTGGATCTCGCTCCCCACTGCCTCTTTTTTCATTATGAGTCTTTACCAGGTCTGGGGTCCAAGGTCCTGGGTAGAAGGGGCTTTCCAAAGGGATCTGCCCCAGGCTGCTGCACCCTATGGCCGCTGGGAGCTTTGCCAGCTTGGACTGATGGGTGAAGGGGGTCAGAGTCAGGCCAAGGGGAAGGAAGAGGGTTCCTGTGGCGGGGACTGGTGTCCGTGCAAGCACGGATGGTCCTGGGCTGGAAGCGGCCTGGGCGCTGGGGTTGGGCGGCAAAGTCATCGCTGCCCCAGCGTTGAACAGGGTCTCCTCTCCTGCAGGGGAGACCTGGAACCCCTTCAAGCTGCAGTACCAGCTGAGGAACGTGCGCGAGCGCATTGCCAAGGCATTGGTGGAGAAGGGCATCCTCACCACAGAGAAGCAGAACTTCCTGCTCTTCGACATGACCACCCACCCCGTCAGCAACGCCACCGAGAAGCAGCGCTTGGTGAAGAAGCTCCAGGAGAGCATGCTGGAGCGGTGGGTGAACGACCCCCACCGCATGGACCGCAGGACTCTGGCTCTCCTGGTGCTGGCCCACTCCTCAGATGTGCTGGAGAACGTTTTCGCCAGCCTGGCAGACGACAAGTACAGTGTGGCAATGAACAGGACCAAGGAACTCCTCGATATGGACCCTGAAGTGGAAGCAGCCAAAGCCAGGGGCGCAGAGATGATCTGGGCTGTCCTGGCAGCCTTCAATAAGTCCTAAAAAGCCCCCGAAATCCCCAAACCAGGTGGTGGGAGGGCCTCACCCCCTCGACGCGAGGCCAGGAGCATTTGGGCACGGAGTTCCTGCAGCAGCGGGTGGGCTCAGCTCGGGGACACTCGGGGGGGGTTCACTCTTCCCCCCCAGGCAGGGGTGGGAGGGCAAGAGCCCACCTGTGTGGGCAGGTCGCACACTCCTCCAAAGGCCGGTGCCTCCGGGGAGAGGTGGCAGCGGCTCTTCGCTTCCCTTCCAGTGCTGCTTGCCCATGGGCTTCCTTCTCGGGCCAGTGCAGAGCTGGGAGGTGGCAGAGCCCAGCCCTGCCTCTGCAGGTAGGAACCAAGCTGCTCAGATGGGCCAAACACCGGCAGAAACGGGGCTGCAGAGCAGCCTGCGCTCCCTGTGCACCGGCTTGTCCGGCCGCCTCCGCGGCTCCCTCTTCCATGGACAGGTCTTGCCTTTGAGCTGCCTGGGCAGCACAGGTGCCCGTAGGGAGCGTGCAGAAGCCCTCCTGGGGCGGGGTACGGGCAGGGGAGCGGGCAGGGGGCCGGTTCAGGGGTGTCGGGCGGCTGGGATCACCCAACGTGCTGGCCGGCACGGGGCAGCCCAAAGCCCTCGGCACGTGTCGCCATCGAGGAGCAGCTCTGCAAAAGGTGGTGGAGCCCCGCGCTGGGCTGGGCCCCCGTCGCACACCTGCTCTTTTTAGTAAGAGGAAAAGTTAAACTGATTTTTTTTTTCTTTTTTAACCCC